CAGTTGGCTTGTCATGTTCACCTGGAGTCCAGACTGCTATGGTATTCTTTGTATGAACCCTCTTGGGCTCAGGATGAGCTGAACACAGTGAAAGAGGGAGCATGCCACTTAAGGAGTGTAGAAGAAGGCATTGTGTGAGAGATAAGACTTTGCTAAGACAGTTCTAGGGAGAAATGTTGTAAGTTTTTGAGAGCATGGCAGATGGTTATACTGCTTTTTTTTTCCTTGGTATACACTAGGACAGTAACTGCCTTGTAATGTGAAGGTAGCTACATGTACTATGGAGGGAGTGGCTACCCTACTAATATCTAATACTAATACCCCACTAATGAGGAGGTAGCTAGATGCTATGTGTGTGATTAAGGATACTAGAAATGGTCCAGCCTTAACAGCATGGGAAAGTTTACCCATGGAAATTCGGTAGTTTGTTAATTTCAGTGTAATTTTTAGCTGACACAAAGCTCTATGTTGACATGCCTACACTATTTTTTGTACACTAGATCATCTGCTGCTAGCTCCAAAGTATCTTTACATCCTACTAGTTTTAGGGGTATTACATGCCTAACAACCTATGAAGAGTAGTTTTGTACTCAGGGACAAACTGGTTTGCTGCCTCTTTCCTCTGCCAGTACTGGTGCTGCTGCCCCATAGATATTAGCTGGTTTGGTGACAGTAATGGCATTGGTTAGTAGCCGTGAGGGTGCTGGGGTGCAGGGCCTCGGAAGAGAAGTGAAGATCACTTCCTTTCTGCCTTGCTGAAGTCACCAAACAAGGAGAATTGCTCCAGATGGGTAGCCTCACTTGGCCCATTGGTTCTTGGTGATACTTTTGCCTAAATGTTTTTAAGGTTCCAGACTTGAACAAAATGAATGAATGCTGTGGACATATTAGAACACACTTCTGAATACAAAGTTTCCTTTCTCTTGTGGAAGACCCTACTGAGTAGAGCTTCAGGTCAACGAAGAACAGTGCCTTTGATCTTTGAGGTGTTGCTGTCTGCCTTAAGTTTTTCAGCTAACATCCAAGAGGTAGGTTTTGATATTGCAGACAGGAAGGACCTGTTGGCTGGGATGCAGTGTTCTTTGACACTGGTACCGTTCCCTGTCCTCCCTTGTCAGGGCTCATCTGGCAGAATCTGCCAGTCTGGAGATGCTCTGCAAGGAGCTTTCCCTTGCATTCAGGAAGGAGCTTGTCAGAAGTCTTAGTGTGTGCAGTATCTACAGACTTGATCTGTTGTCACTGTCATTTGCGTATCAATTTGTGGGCAATGTTATAGATGAAATGCTGAGTATTTAAAGTGTTAACAGACTTGTAGTGTTCAGTTGGTGAATGCCTATTGATTAAATGATTAAGTTTTTAAAATCTAAATCATGTAAATTCAAGCAGGCTGGGCAACATGAATTTTCAGAGTAAGCATGCTTTGGAAATAAGATTAATGTGACTGATGCTGGTGTCCCCTTTTGTTTGCATCACAAATATTGCAGTGAAAAACTTACTACTGGGAAACTTGGAA